TTTAGCACCATTTCCGATAATTTAGGTAGGGCAGGGAAGAAATTTCTAGAGTAATTAAATGGGTGGGGAGTCTGGAGTATGGACTAAGTGTGTGAGCCTGTTTGCCTGTCTTGATTTATGAACTGATGACAGCGTTGCGTGGACAGTCTAGTCAACCTACTTCAGGCCATGTTTTTTCGGACAGTCTTTCAACGTTTCTTATGAACTTATCTCTGCTAAAGTTGAGATACAAGTGGCTCAATATTTGAAAAAGTGCAAATTATACCATTTCTTACCGAGAAAATCGATATGAAAGAACGAAGATTGTAATGTTACCAAAGTTCTCAAACATCCATTAACAAGATCCCAAACAATTTCCGGGGGTATTTCTATTGCAAAGCTTTGTTTTATAATTTTTAATCAAGCGCACGCTCAATGTGAGTTCGAGCGCGCTTATTTAACAAATAAAAAACAAAAATTAGAAATAATAGTACAATATACCAATAATACTAATTTACTAATGGTTATTTGAGGAATATTTAGAAACTTTAGCAGCATAAAATTTCCTTCTTTCCATGCTGTTTATCGTGCTTATCGGAGTCAAACATTCCACATTCGGTAGTTTTATAAATATTAAGCCGCTTATGTCTCAAAAATTATCAACTTTAGAGAAAGGTTGGTGAGGACCTTTTCAATTCAGAATAACACAAAATGAACTGTCTGGAGCGGAAAAAACAATTTTTGAAAATTGTTCAAAGAAATTAAACAGTTTTAGACACATTTTTGGGTGTGGCAACATGCAGATTCCTTGAAATAGGTCCTTTTTTCTTCTTCGTTATTTTTAATATTTTGACAGCTTTCACAACTCGTAATTGCCAAATTGAGCTCAGATAACGATTACACGTATGCACCTATGGTTAAATCCATCATCGCTTTCAAGGAGACCAGGACTGAAAAGAAAAATGAAAAATGCCATTTTCCAATTTTGCGGAAGTTCATTTGAGTAAGTGGAGAAGTTGGTCTCGTCACTTTGTTTTGATTAGTGAGATTCTACTCCTCCAACTTAGCTTTATGAACTAGATTCATCGAATTTCATGAAGAAAGTTATTATTGCATCTTTTCGAAATACGTAGTTAAAAAGAACCAAAACACGTGTTAGGTAGGTAGACTTGGATTGCTTTTTCGTCTGAATGTAGGTGAGTAAACTCGGTTTCAGAATATACACAACAGCGAGGGAGCCCAAGATAATGACTTACTGAAGCGTCGTAGAGACTTATTGCGTTTTGAAGATTAGATATCAGGAAGGAAAAACGGTTGTATTATGGGAGGGGAGCACCTACAGATTTTCAAAAATAAAAAAACTAAGCTACGTGGACATACTCCAGCGCGTCGGATATTAATATTGTGCCCCACCTATTTCTAATATTGGAGGTATGATAGTCTGCCGGTTTGTATAGTGTAGGTAACTGTATGGAAGGGTAGGAAATTAAAAAAAGAAATAAATAAAATTTAATCAAGCGCGTCAGACAGTCAGAAGCGATGCTAAGTGAACCCAAAAGAAGCCCGGATTCGAAAGAACGTCGCAAGTTCAGGGCGAACTTTTAAAAATGCAAAAATCGACATTTTTAAATACTCGAGCATGTCACATTACTATACAGACTGTTCAGCTAGATGACCTAGTCCTATAATGATTACTTGCAGGGATCATATCAATCTGACAATTTGAAAAAACACATTAGCATGGTCAAATGCTTCCTCAAAGTTTTAGTTATATAATGGGTGATTTTTTTGCTAGTATCTTTTTGGCAACACTGTTTTTGACAGATGACGCGTGAATCGTGTCTTGTGTCATTGTCAAACTTGTTCAGTTTGGTCTATAATTTAACCATGAATCGACTTACGAACGAACAACGCTTCCAAATTATTGAATTTTACTATCAAAATTCATGCTTGGTTAAGAGAGTGCATCGAGCACTGCTTCCAATTTTATGGGCAATTTGGTCGGCCTACTGAGGGAGCTATTCGGAAGCTTGTGACTAAATTTCGATCCCAGTTTACATTATTGGACATTAAACCACCAACACACAGACGTAGAGTGAGGACTGAAGAAAATATTGCGGCTGTATCCGCCAGTGTTAGTGATGACCGTGAAATGTCGATTCGCCGCCGTTCGCAGCAATTGGGCCTCTGTTACTCCACTACGTGGAAAATTTTGCGACAGGATTTCGGTGTAAAACCTTAAGATATAATAATAATATAATAATAACCTAAAGATACAGCTGGTGCAAGAATTGAAGCCACACGACCTCCCACAACGTTTCCAATTTGGTGAATGGGCGCTGGCAAAGTTGGAGGAAGATCCACATTTTTATCGAAAAATTGTGTTCAGCGACGAAGCTCATTTGCTGGTTGAATGGGTACATTAACAAGCAAAATTGCCACATCTGGAGTGAAGACCAGCCAGAAGCATTGCAAGAGCTACCAATGCATCCCGAAAAAATCACTGTTTGGTGTGGATTATGGGCCGGTGGCATCATCGGGCCGTACTTCTTCAAAGACGACAATGGCCGGAACGTAACTGTGAATGGCGAGCGCTACCGTGCGATGATATCAAACTTTTTTTTTGCCCAAAATGGAAGAGCTGGACTTGGCTGACATGTGGTTTCAACAAGACGGTGCCACATGCCACACCGCACACGAAACAATGGCCCTATTGAGAGGCGAGTTCGGTGAACAGTTTATCTCACGTTTGGGGCCCGTCAATTGGCCGCCTAGATCGTGTGATTTAACGCCGTTGGACTATTTCTTGTGGGGCCATGTTAAGGCTAATGCCTACAGGGATAAACCAGCAACGATTGACGCACTGGAAGCCAATATTGAAACATTTATTCGTGAGATACCGGCCGATATGTTGGAGAGAGTGTGCCAAAATTGGACCTTGCGCATGGTCCATCTAAAGCGGAGCCGCGGCCAACATTTACAAGAAATAATCTTTAAACATTAAATTATATCGACCGTTCTATCGACTCAAATAAAGATTTGATCGTTTTTTCAAATTTTTTGTGTTTTTTTGAAAATCAAATCCTATACCTCTTAAAAAATCACCCGTTATATATATACACACTCGGCATCCTTCGCTGCCAAATGTCGAAAGATTAGCTGTCGAATAAAAAATGTTGATTTATAAAACTTCTGTAATTTTGAAAATTTAATACACTGTAATACAAATTGATCAAATTTGTTGAATTAACATGTCAGCCGTCAATAATAATTGTCTTTAAAGTGAGTTTCTCTGGAGAAATCATCGTTCCGGTAAGTAGATTCGTTATAAAAATATGCTAAAAATGCAAACTAATCCGCAAATATCCCATAAATTTCACATCCACCTTTTTAAGCACTATTTTTTATAATCTATCGACCAGAAATAGGGTCTACAGTAAAGGAGAAAAACATACGGCTGGTGTAGCCAATCTAGAATCTTGTCCGTGGAAGTAAGAAGATGTGTTTCAGAACTCTCTCCAGAAACTTCATTATCGCACCCCGCTGTATTTTCTTGTTGCCTCAGCTTTTGAAGATTAGAGGATATTTTAATTTCTTATAACACTGCGTCTGATAACCGTCATTAAGTGCTCGCGCAGACAGACAAGCGTGCAGCGTTCAATCCGCGTTGGTGCCGCCAATTCCTCTTACGAGTTCTAACACATACAGGAGATAGTGACGAACACTGCGTTCCATTTTACGAAGATTACTTACATGATTTCGATAGTTCGCCTTCAGAAGACAAATCATTGCTTTTGTGGAGTTTGGAAGAGTCTAATTAGAAAAAAAGATTCTGGGTGCATCCGATTAATTGTGAGAGAGATGAAAAAGGAGAGTTGAGTGTTCTTTTTCATGCATTGCTTGAAGATTTTTTATTTACTTCCAAATCTAGCAAAGTACTTTTAATGAATTGCATGATTATATAAAAAAGGAAATAGAGAAGCAGACATCAACTGGAGAAAGGCAATATCTACAAAAGAAAGATTGGCAGTATTTTTCCATTTCCGTGGCTATTTCAAGCCACGCTGCATTTTCTTAAACTACTATACATTTATAGTCTGCGTTATTAAGATCATATAAAAACGCATTTCCCTTACTGAATCAATTCTTTTTTCTCCGGAAGCCATCGTAAGAACGAGGCGTTCTACGAGTTCTTTGTATTTCTGACAATAGAACGCAAGAACGCGAGCGTTCACACTGACCTGTGCGGTCTGACTAGCCGCTGTGTCTGCTCGACTCTAATATATAGAGATCCATTAGTTACAAAGAACGTGGAATGCATAACGCGGAACTCGGACCGCTTGAACGCTTTCTGTCTGCGCGAGCCCTTAATGGTATTGCCGCGGATAGTTCAACATTATCGTACGTTGTCCGGTTTGCTACGATGATAGTCCAAAACTAAAAGGCCTTTTTAACAATTATTTTGAATGCATTTTGACCACAGAATAATACAAACTTGATGATAATATCACTCATCATCCTAATAGATATCATAGACTATAGATCAGCTAGTAGATATTAAACTTACGATTGATATTACAACAGTTGTTTTTTCATCATAGTAACAGATTATATGTATTTCCTTATTCTTGAATGTCAAGCTAACGTTTTGGACTTTCACGCTCCCTGCCGTCGTACTCAAATCGTCGGATTATTGAAATCAACACTTTATAGCATACTAGTTACCCAGCTTGACTTATTTTGACGTGTTTAAGTATTTCTAACGAACGGTTCTTGAGTATTCGGATCATTTGCCTTAGACGTGCGCCCCTGTATAAAGCGCTTATACAGGAAACTATAAAAAAGAATTATTGAAGGATCAATTCTGAAAAAAAAATGTGTTCAAAATCTAGTGAAGATGTCCCAATAAAGTACGAACAAGCGGCTAGGTATGGTGCAGGAAAAATTTGGTACCACTTTTCAGTTCTCATTAACGTTGGCGATGCAGAACAATGCAGATTCTTGTGACAATGTTTTGATGAGCATGTATTAATACAATTGAATATGGAATGAATGTATAATAAAACTTGAATTATACAGGTATAGTACAAACAGCATCTTTACAATCCAGCCATGGGTTCCAGGTGAAACCAAACAGCCTGGGCGCAGCATTCTCGATGTCAACAGCTTCCTCCAGTTGAGGCACGAGGGATTTGCGGTACTCGACCAGAGCTCTCTTCATTCTTCGTACCACGCTGGGGAAATACTTCGCCAGATCGTTCTCTTCACAAGGATCGTTGGGGATGTCATATAAGCATACTTCACCACCTATGTCGAGAGGAAAATACGATATCAACTTAATTGACTCCAGATTTTGTATGGGCATAGGTTAAGAGAGTATTTTTTCTAGTGATACGACAAAGATTCAATGGAATGTTCTTTAGATTTTTTTTCAAGAGCACTTTGACTCTCTAACAAAGATCTCATTCATTTCAAAGATATAGGTAACAATTATGGCTTGGGAAAATGCTCAATCTACAAAACCTGTTTGAAACGTATAGGTTATTCTAACTAGAGTGCAAAATTTCATGCTCTCCGTCATAGAATGTCAAACCGCTTTATTGAGTTATAGCAGCATCGATAGTTATTAATAAAAACATACTAACATTGGTAGATAGGATACACTCATTATTAACGATGGCCTGTTAGATTTAAACGCCGTTGGTCTCCATTACAAGGCCAAATAAATGTTATCACTCAAACTCCAGTATAAAATGTGGGAAATCTAAAGCCTTCTGAGTCTTTTTTATAAAATTATCAAATGCAAAATAGGAATGTTCACAAAATAACCTGTATATCCATTTTAGGGGAAATTGTTATTCATTGACATCACTTCGTTATACAATTTGCATCAACTGTTTCTTCAAAATATGGCTGAAGTTCAGTTCAGTTTTTTCGTTATGCAGTTGGATTAGGGTTTTAAGGTCTTTTATCCATATTACTCGTACTATAGTCTAAAACTTTTCATCGACCTTACGTATTCAAAACTTCAAGATTCTACAAATCTCATGTGGTAGTGTTTAGATTTCTTCAAAAGAGCACTTTCAACTTTACAATTGTACTATTGATTCCAGGCAAGACTAGGCTTAAGGTCAAATATGGAATCTTGATACTATATGAAATGCTACGAAATGTATTTTAATACTCGAGATACATACATGTTCTCTTCTATTCGGCAATGCCTGTCGGAGAGGTCCGTGGACCTTCGCCCTTGTATAGAACCGTGGTCTGTCAGGTGTGGTTGCCCAGATACCACCAAGTCAGGTAGGAAGAAAGGAAGAAGAAAGAAGGGGGAAGTACGAGTATGTCGGTTGGAAAGGTGCCTTGATACTATTAAATAGAATTCTGGAACTTTTTGTTAATCCAGAATATTAAGTTTTGTGAACTACTGACCTGCGGGGTCACACGGATTCTTCTTAGCTTTGGCGTCCAGTCTAGCAACTCTTGCTTCTGCTCGTAGTTGCAAGTATTCTGTTTCAGTCAGGGGCGTGTAGGATACTTGTCTGATCACTCGACCAGCCTTACTGTCGAATACGGCACTTCCGTTGTAAGATGTTTCGGAAATCACACCCATCACTGCTTCTCCATAGTAATCATTATAGGTTCCATTCATGCTGGTACCTAGAAAAAAATGTTTAGACTTGATATTTTACTAGGACTAATACATGTTTTTCAGAGGCACGCGACTTTAAAATGTATATATTAGGAAAAATTGTTACGAGGGTCATAATTGAAGTACTGTATTTATTTTACAGCTATCCTACTGATTTAAGGAATACAAGTACGCGACTGTACACGGTCTTTGGAGAGTCACAGTAAAACAACAGGAATTACTATTATACATCCATCTCTCTCTCCCACAAACATATGGAATCAGCCTCCATCGGCGGATGTTTGTTTGTGTAAGCTCATACTGACATAGGTTTTTTAGTTTTTTGTCACCACCTTGAAAATTTTCTCGTCAACGTATGAGCCTTTCATATGTACGGTGAAAAAAACCCAGCTTGAAGGACCATCTGGAACTTTAGGGGTGGTAGACTATACATTGATTGAAAATAGTCCACAGGTATGTTAACTGTGAAAGCGCAAGATCTTACAGAGTTATTATCAGGTCGATTAGGAGAAACGATGAAGTCATGGAATGTTTCCTAGAAGAAATTGATTGTGTTGCACGGAACGCAACTCGTGGCACTACCTTGCTGAAATTCACGTGTGTTCCATTCAATTAGGAAACAAAAAGTCACAAGTTATATGCTTATGGAGTCAATATGTGATCGTGACATATTATAGGCTTCCAAGGTAATGTGATTTCAGACGCATGAACTATATTATTCCAAGTCAATGGTCTACGCCGCCGCCGTTAAACTAGAGGCAGTGGAACCTTACAAGAAAAAAATTGAGTTAATATTGCAACTGCACGTAACTCATCTAAAATGATATCGAAAACAGGTCTGTCAGATTGTTCTTTCATTGAGGTTACTGCTCAAAATCAGTAATTACATAAATTTATTTATATATTTTATATTATGGACATTAGTATATACAGGGTGGCCAAACACGTGACGTCATAAAAAAAAAATTAGATTCCCCACATCGAGAGGAACCCAAATCACCCCCATATATATGGTCCGATTTTGTTTAGTTTAGGAGTTATGATTTTTTTTCGGATTTTTCGAGAATTTTTGAGTTCTGTGTTTATTTTTACCATAACTTCGTTAATAATTGTGATAAATGCCTGCTTTTTTCACGATTATGTAGCTAAGACCTAAGGCTTAACTATCATATAATCATTCAAGTCATGTAACTAATACTACTTTTTAATTTTTTTCAAAATCTTCGAACATAACAAAAAAGTAAAAAAGTGCAACAACTTTTAACGTTTATAAAAAATTGAAAAAACATGTTCTTACTATTCGTAAGTATCTTAAAAACTTCCTTACGGTATCAGCTATTTACCGTAAAAATTTCATCAACCTAGCTTTACTACATGCTACCATAATTGTGGCTCAAATAGAACCGAACCCAAAATTGGATAACCCTCTGCTCAATAGAAATTGTTAGTTTCGGAAAAAAATTTTGCAAAAACCACAAAAACACGTTTGATTTTTACTGAACAGCAGATTATTATTCATTTATGTTATTTACAAGAGGTTTTCAAAATGTCTGCCTCTAACAGAAATGCACAGTGTACACCTACGTATGAAATTTTGTTTTAAATCTCTAAATGCTTGTGTGTTGTTTTTCAACACATGTGTCGCTTCTTGAATTTTGTTCCTCAATGAATTTTCATTTGCACATTCTTGGGCGAATGTTATGTCTTTAAAATATCCCCAAACAAAAAAATCAATGGGGTTGAGGTCAGGGGAGCGTGGAGGCCATCGTATCGGTCCGTTTCGTCCGATCCATCTGTCTGGGAACCTTTCGTTTAAGTAGTTTCGCACGATCGTTGCGTTGTGGCATGGTGCACCATCATTCTGGAACACCATGTTCCGTCTGGCTTCCAGGCTTGAATCTTCCAGCAATAATGGTAGGCTATTTTCAAGGAAGCTTTTGTAGGCTACCGAATCCAACCTTGACGGCAGTTCAAATGGACCGATAAATTCCATATTGAATATTCCTGACCACATGTTCACACTAAAACGGTGTTGAAATGTCGACGGCCTTGACTGGTGGGGGTTTTCAACAGCCCAAGTATGTAAATTATGGATATTGAATATCCCTGTTCTTTCAAAACGTGACTCGTCAGTCCATAAAATTTTATCAAAAAAATCGGGATCCTCTCGTTGTCTTCGCAGCATTGTCTCGCAGAAATCCACTCTTAACTGGTAATCTGAAGGCATCAACGCTTGAACTCTTTGAACATGATAGGCATGATAACCTTCTTCATGAAGAATATTTTGTATCGATGTTCGTGGTATTCTAAGGTTTTGTGCCATAGATCTCGTACTCGTTGAGGGATTCCGGCTAATTTCTTCAAGTACTACTTCTCTGCGATCCGGATCAGCTGTAGGATATCCTTCATTGCTTCCTCGTCCTGGAATGCGGCCTGCCATGAAAGTGTTATGTGTGTTAATAAAAACACGGTGGTCTGGGTAATGCTCAGGTTGTGGTTTAATTTTTCAGGCTCTGGTTAGGCCAACCAACAGAGGACACGTCATCACCACCGACCAGCCACGTCATCTACGGCACAGGACACGTCAGCCGTTCTGGTATAAATAACCCCGAAAGGCTAAGTCACCTGCAGACGAAATAAGAGGCCATATCAGCCGAAACCTCGTGCTCTAAAAAATTGGATATTCCGGGACTCTGCTTTGCATACTGATTTGGACTTTGTTTGCTAAGAAGTTTGTGATGCATTATACGTTGCGTGAATATGCAGAAATGCATTATTATTATGGCGTTGCTCAAGGCAACGGCGCTTTAGCAGCTCAGCTGTACCGGGAACAACTTATACGCCGAGGCGGACCACAACCTGAGCATTACCCAGACCACCGTGTTTTTATTAACACACATAACACTTTCATGGCAGGCTGCATTCCAGGACGAGGAAGCAATGAAGGATATCCTGCAGCTGATCCGGATCGCAGAGAAGTAGTACTTGAAGAAATTAGCCGGAATCCCTCAACGAGTACGAGATCTATGGCACAAAACCTTAGAATACCACGAACATCGATACAAAATATTCTTCATGAAGAAGGTTATCATGCCTATCATGTTCAAAGAGTTCAAGCGTTGATGCCTTCAGATTACTAGTTAAGAGTGGATTTCTGCGAGACAATGCTGCGAAGACAACGAGAGGATCCCGATTTTTTTGATAAAATTTTATGGACTGACGAGTCACGTTTTGAAAGAACAGGGATATTCAATATCCATAATTTACATACTTGGGCTGTTGAAAACCCCCACCAGTCAAGGCCGTCGACATTTCAACACCGTTTTAGTGTGAACATGTGGTCAGGAATATTCAATATGGAATTTATCGGTCCATTTGAACTGCCGTCAAGGTTGGATTCGGTAGCCTACAAAAGCTTCCTTGAAAATAGCCTACCATTATTGCTGGAAGATTCAAGCCTGGAAGCCAGACGGAACATGGTGTTCCAGAATGATGGTGCACCATGCCACAACGCAACGATCGTGTGAAACTACTTAAACGAAAGGTTCCCAGACAGATGGATCGGACGAAACGGACCGATACGATGGCCTCCACGCTCCCCTGACCTCAACCCCATTGATTTTTTTGTTTGGGGATATTTTAAAGACATAACATTCGCCCAAGAATGTGCAAATGAAAGTTCATTGAGGAACAAAATTCAAGAAGCGTCACATGTGTTGAAAAACAACATTTAGAGATTTAAAACAAAATTTCATACGTAGGTGTACACTGTGCATTTCTGTTAGAGGCAGACATTTTGAAAACCTCTTGTAAATAACATAAATGAATAATAATCTGCTGTTCAGTAAAAATCAAACGTGTTTTTGTGGTTTTTGCAATTTTTTTTTCCGAAACTAACAATTTCTATTGAGCAGAGGGTTATCCAATTTTGGGTTCGGTTCTATTTGAGCCACAATTACGGTAGCATATAGTAAAGCTAGGTTGATGAAATTTTTACGGTAAATAGCTGATACCGTAAGGAAGTTTTTAAGATACTTACGAATAGTAAGAACATGTTTTTTCAATTATTTATAAACGTTCAAAGTTGTTGCACTTTTTTACTTTTTTGTTATGTTCGAAGAATTTGAAAAAAATTAAAAAGTAGTATTAGTTACATGACTTGAATGATTATATGATAGTTAAGGCTTAGGTCTTAGCTACATAATCGTGAAAAAAGCAGGCATTTATCACAATTATTAACGAAGTTATGGTAAAAATAAACACAGAACTCAAAAATTCTCGAAAAATCCGAAAAAACATCATAACTCCTAAACTAAACAAAATCGGACCATATATATGGGGGTGATTTGGGTTCCTCTCGATGTGGGGAATCTAATTTTTTTTTTATGACGTCACGTGTTTGGCCACCCTGTATATACATACTCGTATATAAATATACATTTCAATTTGATCAACTCTGTACCCAAACGTTCTTGGGCTTGACCAATATGAAGTTCTTCGTATGTTGATGTGGGAAGTAAAAAACAGATTAGCTTTATTGATATTTAAATTTTGCTGCACTTTGACCTAAGCTTTAGTTTATCTCTCTATTATCATATAGATTACGGAATTTTTACCAGAAACAGAAATATTTAATAGACGTCCAATCATATACATAGATTGATATTATAATGAGGAAAAATACTAATGAGGTATTTCGAGCATTCAATATTTCGTATACTCGGAATAATAGCCAAAATAGTTTGGCTCTTATCCATATTCAAATGTTTTTATGATTGTATTCATTGATACATTTCAAGAATTTTGGCTATTGTAGACATTCAAATTTTCAACGCCATTGATAGCTAATAATTTAGTTGAATTTTCTCGTTACCATAACATATTGGTACTTTACATTCAAGGATTAAAGAAACGGTGTTAACATTTTATAGATAAAGATAGTACAAAATTTCCTAGAATAAGAAAAAATAACTTAGTAAGTTATTTTTGATTCCACAGTTATTTTCTGCATAGCCATTTCTTCTGGTGCAGGTTTTCATTTCAAATACTCCACTTGGCCTCAGTTTTTATCATTATCTGACGATAGGGACTTCACAAGGGAAACCTTTGGTACAGAAAAAAGAATATCTAGATAAGCTTACCTACTATTAGTTTCCAGTTGTAGAATCTCAAGGCTGCATTTCTTGTTTTCTCATTGATGTTCAGCAAAATGTCATTTCTTGGTGATGGTAAATCATAGACCTGAAATAACAGACAAATATAACTCTTCCGTTCACCCCATTCAGTGCTATGCACTGTAATTTTTCTTCCACAGAAAATTACAGGGGGTCAGTGTCGTCCATCACCTTTTGGGGCTAATTGAGTTTCTAGTTACGACTCCTATATAAAGTAATGACAAACAATATAATTTGGAAAAAACATCATCTTACCATACTAGCCCATTGATCGATACCATCGATTTCAGGACCTAGGTTAGCAATGTCTCCATTTGCAGCAGTATACAGAGTAGGTAACCAATCGGTGATATGCATCAAATCCTTAGAGACTCTTCCAGACTGAATGAGGAGAGGACTAGATAAAATAACACAGTTCAGCATGTTGGAAATCAAGTTTAGTAAAGTTTTGTACTTTCATTTTCAGTATATTGTCAAATAATTCTAATATGTAGTTAGACTATCAAAAGTAAGCTAGTACCTGTATATAAAAGCGACGCTCCTAATACCTCCTTCAAAAAGTGTATTCTTCACCCCTCTGAGGGGATAGTTGCTACCCCAATTCTTGAACTGAGGAGCAACTGTTGCAGCACCATTATCAGTTATGAAAACTATAACAGTATTCTGCAGCATCTTTTTGCTCTCTAAGGTTTCCACCAAGGTACCAAGGCTTTCGTCCAGTTTCGTTACCATTGCTGTAAGGAGTCACTATGTATATCTGAGAAACGAAAGCAATTACAAAAAATATTAAACAGTTAAGCAAAATTAATTTTATCATCCCTGAGACAATTCTTCAGTTTTACTATTGACGAGGCAGCCAACCCTTACCTGCCTAGCACCGTGATCTCATGACTCATCCGTATAAGAAAGGAGGTGAGTTGATAAGGTCTATTTTTCGCCCATAACGCACTCAAAAATAAAAAGTTCGAGTCCAGACTATTATTGAATTTATTTGTGAACTTCAACACGTGTATTTTTTCATTATATAATATTTACGGTATAAATAATGTAATGTGCTTCGGAAATTATTGCCAAGAAACTATTTTATTTACACCTACACGCTTTTTGTGCATTTTTGTTGTTTTTCAATCTTTGAATCATTATTTCCCTACGAAGCGTTCCATGAACCACATTAACTTTAATATTCGCTGGGTCTACTTATTATAAGCTTGTATATGAGTATTTTTTTGTTTAGATTCAGTAAGCGCATCAATCCAAAAATACGTAATATATGCTGCGGGAGAGTGTGAGTCACGCTGCAATGGCTGCGTGTTCAGACATGATTTTTCGCGCTCGAAAAGTATTTACGTAGTAAAGGTATAGAAACTGTGCTGTGCTGTCGCGTTCAACGTTTATTGAGAAACTTGATAAAACAATAATACCTGAATGCCAGTGTGATTGTTGTAAAACGTGGCGAAAAACAAACAGTGACTTCCGTAGCTGCTCGAACAAAAACATTATAGCAGTACTTAGAAAATCTGAAAACTGTGATCTGCAGATTGGTTCTGAGTTGTGTCCTAAATCATATGCATCCCGTGTGGCTCAATCTTAGAAGATTCCCACTTCATCTTCTGTAAGGACAACAAGAGTTCTTACTTCAACAAGTACCTCTGATGATACTGAAGGATGGTCTGATAGTGATTCGAATGAAGAAGACAAGGGAGAAGATTAGTAAAAAATATATTCAGTGTATGAAAACTGATAATATTTTATTATTGTTTAATAAACATATATAACACTCAGATAATTATTTAATTTATGTATACCACGAATTTCAGTTTTCATTCGAAATAAGTGCGTTTTTTTCTTTCTTCATAAATATATATGTCATATCTATTCGCTGATGGGCGAAAAATGGCACTTATCAGCCCACCTCCTTTGGAGCAATGAACATGTTTGTTATGTGCTGAGATATACAACTTTCAGAATATTTTTGAATAATCTGATAGCTAAGGACCCTTTTGAAAAAGTAAAATGTATTTTGAAGTGAATCCAGAAGAGTAGTTGATGAAACACACTTTGCAAATGCAGTATTGCTTAGAGTGCATGAAGGGATGTCTATCAAATTTTTTACGTATCTTTAATTTAATACCGGTCATTGTAAGAACCCTATGACGAATGAGTGGCATTGGTGGTTCGATAATCAAGCTCAAAACGAATTTGCAAGCATCGTACAGTGTAAAATATTTTTTAGTCAACATTCAAAATATCTGATTAGCAATTCCGATGTTGTAACAGGGAACAACTATTCCGATAATAGGATGTCCGAGTACACATTCACCCTTGAGGTCACCTGAAAGTTCAAAGACTGTTCGGAAATCGTATAAAATGGATAATTATCATAATTAAAAATTCCTTCCTTCATTTTAACTGTTTAAATAACAATAATTGGGAGGTTATTTGCCTGGCGGAGTTTTTATTAAACTGACTGTTGCGCGTGTTTAATAAGCGAACATAGAAAAATATGTTTATTGCGATTGCTTTCCTGACTTAGGGTCAAATGGAAATTCAATTATTTTTTGTTTTGGACTTGTTATTTTTATATTTGTTTTATTAATTTGTTGAGAGTCTTCCTGAATTTTTTAACAAGCTAAAGGAAACGTGAATTATTCAATAATTTTGCTTCGAAACCCGTGAATTAGCCATAGAAGGCCAACCCTTATCTGAATGTCTTCTTGTATTGATGTCAGCTCATCAGTTGAAAAGTTAGCACTCAACTGTCTCATCTTCCTGTTAAAATCTGCTAGTCCGTGGTTTCCTTCCAAAGCACAATACTGTACCTTGATCGGTTTCGCTTGATGGCCGAGTTCTACCGAAGCGCCGTTCAGTTCGGCCAGATCACCGAGGACTTGATCTAACACGAACACATCTCATCAATAGCGGCAGCTGCTTGGAAAAAGCTAGGCTATTTGTTTAGGGCTAAGAAGTATTTTTCTCCGCATGATCCTCTCACTGTGTACAAGGCCGAGATAAGACCTAGCCTCGAGTACTGCTCACATGTTTGGGGTGCTGCCGTCCTAGCGACATTATCCGTGCTCAATGCTGCTTAGGTGGAGTTTGTCCGACTGATGGATGACTCTTCCCTAATGGACAGTCTCGGGATCCTTTCGCACTGACGACCGTCGGCGATATAGCTCTCTTCTATCGCTATGACAACGTGCTTTGCTTTTCAGAACTCTCCTCTATGATGCCGCCGCATGATGTGCCTGCCAGACAGACCCGCAGGACTTCGGCCTCCCATTCTAACCCTGTCGAACTTTGCACATCCAGAATTGGAGTATTGAGATTGTGGAACAATCTACACAAGGAGGCTTTGGTCAGTTCTACTAAACTTAAGCAACTCAAAAATCAGATCAACAAAGTTTCTTTAAGCTCCTCATAGCAGCTCCCTGGAAATGAGTTCCAAAACTATAGCCATAACATTCCTATTTGCATCAGCCTAACAATGCTTGCGACCTGTGAGAATAAATTTAAAAAATTGGGATCAAAACGCTTCAGAGCGGGAGTTATGCATTTATCCTCACAATAGATACTTAGTAACAGTGTAAGTTTGCTGAGGGGTATTGCCTGCCACCTGCATGTGATGGGTCAGTGCTGCCGTTTTTACGGTATGTCTACTGCTTTAAGTATTCTACTACAATTCTATCGCAAATCGCTTTATGTCTACAGTTTTTCGTAGTACAAGCTTTGGTCATTTAGTCATCAATGGCATTCGTTCTATGCAAACACCCTTCCCCAGTTACGGCTTACCACTAACATTTAAAAATCTGACATTTATTATTTGAATTTACCGTTTTTAATCTTAATGGTAAGCGGATTGATTCCCCACGATTCACCCATTCATTCTCTCCACATAAAACTTATTGATTCTTCGTCACCACTCTTTCATTATTAAAATTAAATGCTAATTAAATGACTATCAAAAGCTTCACAGAGACACTACCTGCATAAGTTCTTCTATTAGCATCTTCTATGTGCCGTAACTTATCAATCGCTTCTTGTGGTGCCTCTAGCAGCTTCCCAGTATTGCCAGCATGCACAGCAAGATGCGTTAACATGAGAAACAATGGTTTTGACGTGTCGTGTTCTTGAATTACTCTAACCGAATAATCTGTGAAAGCATCAGTAGCATAATGGCCAGCATCTTCAAAACTCGGGACGCCGTCTCTTCTCATATCGAAACCATGGTAGTCGATGCCGTCATACTGAAAATTTTAACGCATATTCAAAATAGAATGGATTTAAATTTAAGATTTTAGCTTAGCTATTAAATTCAAATTTGTTTTGAAAAGAGTATCTAACAAAAGTTTCCTCCTCCCAACACAAAACGTAACCACTAAAACATTGCGGACATAATATTTTTGTACCGCTTCCAGAAATTTTCAACGGGAACCAAGTCTATTGTACTAGTAGTAGTAGACATTTATTCACTCCATTATATAAGAACAATAACAACATAGAATGGGTAAATAAATATTTCAATCCCTAGAAGGACAATGCCTGTATATGGATCATATATTGGGATGTGTTCCAAAATCAAAACAAAAAAGTTAAAAAAAACTTGAAGAAAAACTTATATCAAAGGGGTGTGTATGTAGAGAATGACAATCTTTAAGGAATATTTGATAAGAATTCAATAATGTGTTGTCTTCCTATTGCGCGCATCCATTCTGATAATTTCTTTTTAAAATTATGTATTTCGATATTGTTTGTTGCAGTAGTCTTTGGGTATGTGTTCATATAATTTTGGAGCAAAATAGAGAGAAGTTCGCTTCATTATTGTTTGATGGGGCTGATGGACAGTTTTTGCTCGAGATTTATATCGTGTATCATGGCGAGGTGTGATTTTATGGCACTCACTGACAACTTTGAGGTAATGGCTAATAGTATGTAAAAAATAAAGTTGTTTGATATCAAATAATTTTGTTGCGTTATATAAATCATTTGTTGAATATAATTTTGGTTTTCCGAACATAATTTTTAAAACAGTTCTAGAAACATTATGAAGTCAATGTGTTTTGATGTATTGCCAGTCATTTGTAATGAAGAAATGCATAGAGAAACTTCAAAGCTGATGTAGCCCCACATATCTTTGTACATACCGTTTTTGTGCCTACGTAGTCAAAGTAACTAGTGTGTCCATTGTAAAAGCCATAGTGGTGGTCAAAACCTCTGAAGGTTGGTGTTTCGTTCCATTTGGAGTAACCTAAATGCCATTTGCCCACCAAATACGTTGAATAGCCGAGTTCCTACAAACAAGTAAATAAACAGATCAGTGCAACTCAGGTACAGAAAATTCAAAATGTATTAAAATATGTCAGGTTAAGCGATATCATGTACAACCATTGAAAATGATCACTTTAATCTTGATTTTGAATGATTGCACAGCAGTTTTTAATGTAGCTGACAGGTTATTATATTGTAAGGGTGCCACATAGGAGAAATATTTCTTCAGAAAGGTTGTCCTGTATGACAGATAAACTCCGATTTTATTATACAGGATTGTATGAAGAGAACAAAGGAGGTGCACTACCCATCGCTGACTCATTGTAAGCCATTTTATATCCTTAGGATACCTGGAAATTATTTCTCTTCTCGAGATTCCTGAAATATAGCGTACACAGCTGTTTTGGTCTTTTTGTATTCGGAAAACCCCCTCTTGAGGTAGACAAAGACGAATAACCTAATCAGCATGTCCGAGCTTCCTTAGGATGAGGCTGTTAGTGAGCTTTATTTTGGAATCTTCAGGCAGAATATTTTTGAAACTGCGTATATAGATTTCAACTTCGCATAAGCGCTTTGAACAGCCCTGGAAACATGATCATGAAAGGTAAGGTATTCATCAAATGTTACACCAAAGTAACGCACGCTATGCACAAGAAAAATTTGTTTGCAAACTGATTTTTTTGGGTTGACCTTCAATCCTGTGTTTTTTAACCAAGAACGTAGACTATTGAAATCAGTTGACAGTTTTGTTGATGCTGGATGAACCTGAGAGTTATGATATGATAAATACTAGAAGGTTTAACCAGCGTACGTGTGCATCTTGCAATATTTGATCGCCCTGTATAAATCCGAACCATTCAGCGCGAACAAAATGGCAGCAAGTGTAGAGCCCTGAGACACACCGTTGGAAACATCTCGTGAACCAGAAACTGGATTTTGTGGACTTAACACACTTCGTGCTGTAATCTGTGAACCATAGGATAGAAGAAGCTGAAAACCCAAAGTAATGCAGTTTCGCGAGCATTGGTTATCACGACGTAGAGGAAGTTAAACTGGTTTCCTCCTTTCATTCAACCATGTGCGGGATTGTCTGAACCCCATTATAAATCATCAATACTTTACACGGGGCACAAAAAACGAAAGTACAGTAGAAATCCCTAGCAGAGGTAATATTGGAAGTAACTGGATACACTAGTGCCAGGGTCGGCAACTGAGATACTGTAAAGGCAAGATGAAGGAAAGAACTTCCATCTTCACAGCATCTTCCGTATATGTAGATTATTGTTACCTAGCCTTCGATCCTTGTAATACCTGCACTGTTTTCATGACTCCTAATGAGAATAAAATGGCATCATAGTGGTTGATTGGACAGATGAAGAAAGTTTGACTTCCAAGTTAATATCTGATATTACGACTGATGTATTAATCGCCTGTATAGGGCACTGATAGCAGCTGTCCCGTAATTTCGATCTTTAAAATTTTTGAGATAAAAATCGAGATAACTGAGGTATTTACTATGGAAACTGACCCAAGGGGGTCAGGAAATGGCGCTTTCACCATGGCAATCGAGACGGAGTCGAAGGAGCAGACCGTAGAGGAGTTGAGAGTCGAATTGGAGATGGTTCACCAGAAGCTGTAACGGTTTCACCGTCCGATTGTATTTATTAAATCACTTCTCGATTTTCATTTCAGAATCGCAACTCATTAATCCAATCTCTAGCTTATCCCATCTCTAGTTTTTTTACTTGGAAACATTTCCGCTTGGAGCTTCCTTTTCACTTGAGCCGTCGATCTAACAAGAGCTGAGAATTTTGTTCTCTGTAGCATGAGGTCATATAGCACCATGTGCTAGCATTTTGTAAAATGTGTGTCCAAATAGGATAAAATGATTTGGGCCACCCCCTTTCCCTTTGTCTTTGACTTTGCCTTTCCCTTTGCCTTTGCCTTTGTCCTTTGCCTTTGCCTTTGCCTTTGTCTTTGACTTTGCCTTCCTTTGTCTTTGACTTTGCATTGCTTGGCCTATCACTTTGCTATGCATGTGCCTTGGCAGCGCCATCACTTACAGCTTCATCCTTTTTTTTTTTTTTTTTTTTATACTCCAACTACCACGAAGGCCTAAGGCCTAAGCACCCATTGGGTACCGTGGGGCTATGGGGGATACATGGGAAAGGCGGGCCGCCACACGGACTCTGGCGAGGGAACACGTGTGCATGCAACATGCACACATTCTAGCTCCGCCTACGAGAACCGCCGGGTGGTACCTCCGCGTTCGACAGTCAGAGACCATCTACCACCTACGGACAATCACAACATCCATGGCCAAGAGAAACATTTCGCTGCCAAAAATATGGGCATGCGCAATCTTACTGCACTGCACCACCTAAATGTCTAAAATGTGCTTCTGACCACATGACCTACTTATGCCCTCAAACAGAACAAGAGGAACGAAAGTGCGCGAACTGTGGAGGGGGGCACCCAGCAAATAGACGAACTTGCAGATTTGCCCCTAGGAAAAATCTGCAAGTGATAGCGCAAAGGCGCAATGTAATGCAACCCGGGCTGCCCCCTCTGTGGGGTCTCCGGCGAACACGCAAAATGTGGACCTGGCAACCGCGCTAAGCTCCTTACAGCAGATCATAGGTCCTCTGATTAGCGCAACACAGGCTTTGCAGGCGATCTTTCCTGCAAATGGCTAGGTACAATAGACGACAGCCTGCATTTATCAAAATCTTTTTCGGAATTGTTTGGGTCTAAGGGACATTCCCAAAAAACGGGAATTTCATCAAGCTCTTGTGGACGAAAGTATAGATGTGGCCTTGCTGCAGGAAACATTACTTAATCCGGGAGATCGTCTAGCTTTCCCGAATTACGATGTTATCCGAGCTGATAGATTGACTGGACGGGGTGGCGGCTTGGCAGTGCTAGTGAAACGCGGTATTGACTACCACAGAAGCACAAACGCTGAGATCCAGAGCGGAAGTCCTTAACTTATCTCGTGGCAATAGTCAATGCTATGCTAAGGATCCAGTACTTCCCATCCGCGTGGAAGACCGCTGAAGTTATAATGATTCCAGAGAAGGTGTGTTCGATTTCCCAGGATTATCGTCCTACTAGCCTGCTGTCAGCTCCGTCTAAGCTTGCTGTGAAGGTGATCTACGCCACCTTGAGAATTTCTCGTTAGATCACCATGTGATTCCTGACGTGCAATTCCGTTTTCGATCTGAACATAGTACGGAGCTATATTCGGTTAGGCTGGTGGAACGAGTAACCAGAGGATTCACCCTTAACAAAAGTACTGGCATCTTGCTTTTGGATGTCTCAAAAGCATTTGACAAGGTGTGGCACGCGGGCCTCGTGTATAAACTAATCCAAAAGGGCTTCCCTTTTTGGCTTGTAAAACTACTGAAATCCTTTCTTGAAGGTAGGAAATTTTGGACCAAATTGACAATGTTGACAACACGACTGATTACAGCCGGCGTCCGTCAGGGTTCGGTCGTTGGACCTATCCTTTACTCACTGTACATCCATGACGTACCTAGTCTCAGCAATTGTGAAGTCTATCTCGATGCTGACGATACTGCACTGGTGGCTCAGTCTTGGTCTGGTGACCTAATCCGCGACAGGCCACAAAGTGCGGTGGAGGAAGTGTTAGATTGGGCGGATCGGTGGCTAACTAAAATTAACCATTCGAAAACGCAGGCAATCTACTGTACAAAAAGACGTCGCGGCGTTCCGTCTGAAGTTTCAATGAATGGACTTCGTATACCATGGGAATCCTCCTCTAAGTATCTCGGTGTCATTCTGGACAAAGGGATGACTTGGCGGAATCATATTCGAGTAGAAGCGCTAAAAACTAAATTCCAAATTACGTTTCGACAGCTTTACCCATTATTATGTAAACGTTCAAAATTAAGTTTGACTAACAAGATTCGACTCTATAAGGTGGTCATAAGATCAGCGATGACTTACGCATGTGCGGCTTGGTGTTTTATTGCTAAAACACATATGCGAAATCTGCAGGTTCTGCAAAGCAGGACGTTGCGCACTATTGCTGACGCCCCATGGTATGTCTCTAACGAAACTCTAGATAGAGACCTCGACGTCCCTTACCTAAAGGACTAAATTAAGCGGAATCGCACAGCAACCCTCTGCTGCGTGAGTCAGCGGACTACACAGTCGAGCAAGTTCGCAAGCACAGAAGGCCGCGGCTCGCACTGTAATCGAAATTAATTCGTGAACTTAGAACAACCAAAATTGGAACCTTTTGACAATTTTGAAATTATCGAATATTTTTAGACCATATCAAAATCTGTGAAGTGATTTTAACAATGCCTAAACGCTGCCTATCCTAAAAGATTCTCTTCTTCCCATTTGCTCTCGTTCTTTCTTCTCTCCTTTCCTTCTCTTTTTTTCTTTAAAATTGTCTGGTTTCTGGGTTACCAGCCCTGACAGACTTACAAACTAACACTGTGACTCATGAGCTAAGGACCGCTCTGACAATCAACGATGACTTGACTGACTGATGTATTTTCATTCAATATATGTGTATACGTATAGTCAAAGATCATCAAAGCAACAATGAGTCAAACATCCCCAATCTTATCATTAAATTTAAAAACAGTCGTTTTCCTGGAAAAGCTGACTACACTACACTTAGATGCATCAAGAAATAAATTATCCTCATCACACCAAGCTACTAAAGTATCAATATTCCGTTGAAGTGCAATACAATCAATTTCAGAATCAATAATCTTGAATAATTTAAGATCATCCGGAAAGAAGAGTTTATTACAACTTAAATATTGTGCAATATCATCAATAAATAAGGTAAACAACAAAGGATCAAGGTTTGAGCCCTAAGGAACTCCCTATTTAGTTTCATACTGGTACGACTTGAAGCTATTGAAAGTAACGTATTGCTTTCTTTTACTTTGATAACTTTGAAGATTGCTAAAGCTATTTAAAAGTATGCCATGGTCCATCATATCGAACGCTTTAGCAAAATCAGTATATACTACAGTAT